ATCATCCTTTGGGCACTCTCCAGATGATCAACATCCACAGTATAATGGGATTATTACGTCCATACTTCTATACAATAATCTCCTCTTAAGGCAACCTGAGACTGCATTAGCTTTTTTAGCTATGATATCAAATTGATGAGAGGCAACATGGTGGCCTTGCAGTCAAGAAGACCTAGCTTTAAGTCAGCTGACTGTGTGATTATGTGCAAATTATTTATCAGTCTAAGTTACAGAGGAGTTGTAGAAACTACATGAGCTCATCACATTGATCTATCACAGGTCTGGACAAGGACAAGAGCAACACTACTGATTTACCTTGAGCATGCAGTCTGCAAAAATCCCCAAATGTTTTTCAAATAAATTATTATATAACCATGCTATCTAACCCACGGTCTACTTTTGACATCAATTTTTTTGACCCCAAGTTAAAGTTTCCATTTATTCCTATTTAAATTCATCTTACTAAATTTGGTCCAATATTTGGCTTGTTGAGACTCTTTTGGTTGTGGCCTCTGTCACTCAGTATGTGGATCATCCCTCTCTCCTCTGTATCATCTGTAATTCTAAGAGCCAGGCTATTTATGCCTACAACTCAGCTACTGATAAAACTTTTAAATAGCACAAGGAAATGGTCACAGGTCACTATATTAGAGGTGTCCTTTCAGGTCAACATTAAGCCATTAATGATTACTCTTTAGGACTTGTCACTTAAATAAGTCAATCCACCTAACAACACTAAGATCTAGCTCACATCTCTTCAACTTGTCCTTAAAGATAACTTGAAATTTTAATTCGATCAATAAAGCAGGACATATAATCAGTGTTTATTGAAAGCACAAATGAACAAAGTTCAACCTCCTCAGTTTACAAATCAGGCAAGACCCAAGAAGGATAATCAATCAATCAAGAAGCATTTATTAAACACCTACTATGAACAGTTAGTCAATAAACATTTAATAAGCATTTACTATGTGCCAGGCTCTGTGCTTACTAAGTGCTGAGAATACATACAAATGCTCTGTTCAGGGATATGGTAGACAAAGTACACCCTAGAGAGGAATGACACATGGCTGACTTGGGTGCCCTCCTCAAAAGGATGTTCTGAGAAGAGCCATCCAATTAGAGGGAGAGGCTGGCACAGGAGTAGAGGGCAATTCCAATGTGTGAATCCCAGGCTTCAGGGTGAAGAGGCAGAGGAAATCCAAAGTTAACCAGACACTGTCTAAGAGCTGAGATTACAAAATACTCATGAGGAGCTCACTTTTTAACAGGGAAACAAGTACATATACAGGGTTTCCCAAAAGCCCAAGTGCCATTTTAAGCTACTAAAGCTATTTAAGTTTAAAACCACACTAAGACTTTCGAGGTACCCTGTTTAAGTATATAAAGACTAAATATAAAAATAATAAATACAATAGAAATTGCACACCCAAGGTTGCTGGTAGTGAACTGGGTCTAGAATCCAAGTCTCCAGATTCCCAGTACAAAGTTTTTTCCAAGCTACTTCTAAGATTTTACGATCTACGTTCCCCAGATTCATTCAGAGAGGAATTAAGACAAGATATTCTTTAAGTTTTTAACCTGGGAAAAGTTTGATAGTTGTATTTCAATATAACTGGTTTCCTCTGTAATCCTATGTATTTTATTTTATACATTTAGAAACATTATTCTAAGCAGTTCACAGGCTTAACCAATCTGGCAATCATGTTCTGGACCCAGACATGAGACAAATAACTCCTACTCTAAGAGAAGGAAAAACTATGTTTCATCTCAGAACATCTCAGAACAGCCCAAAGACACAGCCCCATGAAAAGAAGTAAGTTAATGCCATTCCAGAAGAGGTTTCTTGGGACCCAAGAAAGACTCACCAGCACTATACTAAAATTCTAGTCAAGTGACATTATATCATACCAATTTCTGATCACAGAAGAGCACTCCTGAGATATCATCTCACTTCATGGATAACAAAGGCAGGTCTTTTAAAATCACTACCATGAGAATTCTGTTCTCTGTTCCAGTCCTCTCTCCACAAAACTTCTCTTATATGATTTAAATCTGAGATCTATGGATCATCATAGTGCAATTCCCCTGACTTTCCTATTTCAAAGGAAAGCATGTCAAAACATCAATAGCTGCAGGGGACAGGGATTGTACTACATAATTCCTAACATTGCATGGGTCTAAAGTAAAGGAGAACAGAAGTAAAATTAGGAATATGGGGTGGAGGTGGTAGTGTCTTATCTGCTGCCTGTTCTTCAGTTGGCACTGGTTCCTAACATTTTTGCTTTAATATCTACTTATTCTCAGCTTCTGTGATTTGGGGGGCCTTGTGATTTCATTATTCAGTGTGGGAGTACTCCTTGGTGTGGAAATTTTTTCTACCAATGAAGATCAGCAACTCATCTACCGCTTACACTCTTAGAAAGCTGCCTGAGTCCCTGAGAGTTTAACTTGTCCATGGTCACAAATCTGGTAAGAATGAAATAACCCAAGTCTTCTTGACTCCAAGGCCCTCTACTATGCCATGCTTTCAAAAAATAACTCATTATTTGTAGACAAACACTTATCTGCACCAGGGTGGTTAAGATCTAAAACACCTCTATTCCTAATGAATTTTTATATAAAATGAGGAATCATTTATCAAAAAAAAAATCATCTCTTATTTCTCTTAAAAATATAGATTTTTGTATACTCTATATTCTTAGAGTGAGACCCACTTCATCTTTTAAAGACTTCCCAGCCAAAGTACAGTATGAATATTACCAAAAAATTACATAAGCTTCATTTGGGATTTGACTTCATTTTTAAAACAATACAGAAAAACTGGAGGGCGAGTTCAGAAAAGAGCAGTCAAAATTATTAAAAGGACAAGTTAAGGGAAACTGGGTTTATTTACCCTGGAGATGACAGCATAAAAAAAGATAATTCCGAGAAACAAAATTCTATATGGTGCCAAAACAGCAGCTCTTTTGCTTTTTCAGCCTATTCAGGACCTCCAGTACATCCAGAAAGAGTGGTCCAATGGGACCCTAGGAAAGCTCTTTTTATTGCTCTTTTAATCTTCCTGGAGTTAATTTTATTGTAGGATATAGGCCTCTCCTCTATTCTAAATAAGTTGGGGAGATGTATATTTTCTTTTCAAGAACCTTAGACCTATTCATTTCCTTTCAGTTCATGTGTCTTCTCTGCCTGTGATTTACTGTCAAAAATTGTTAAAGCTAAGATTTCCACACAAAGTAGTTCTACCTGATGGAATGAATTCTTATTTTGACTATGAATAATAATTTGCATACTTGTCTTGAAAATAGTATTTCCCCAGTATGATCAATTTAAATCATTTAAATTTTAATATGCTTAATGAATTTATACTCCTGTTTTCAAAGAAAGATTTGTGAAAGTGAATTGTTGGGCACAATCTTTCAAGAGAGACCATGGCCAAAGGATTAAATTAAATATTTGTGAAGCGCTTAATATGGTGCCTTGCACATGGCTGGTGCTTAATAAATGCTTATTCTCTTCCATTAAGCTAAAAGATCATAGTTCATAAGACTTATGGAATGTATCAAAAGAAGCTTATGTCCCTGAGATGAGTCCTGCTAACACAATGCACACACTTATTAGTTAAATCACTCCTTTAACCACCTCCACATCATTTATCATGTTTTGTGTTACGCTTCATGATTAACGGATTTTCAAGTGTGACCCAAATCCATTTTCCTTGTCAAATCTCAGATGCACAAGGCCCCAAACAATTCTGTCCAAGCAGCCATTTCAGATAAAACCCTTACTTTTGTGCACAACAGACTGTAAAATGTGTGGATGCCAAAGAAGATAGTAGGGACAAACCAAAACACTACCTACCACCTGCTGAAGAAAAGCTCCTACCAATTTTATCAGCTGTCACCTTCAGAAAGGGCCACACTTGACAGTGAAGCATGGAGATGGCTGCCCGCTGTCTCAATGGCCGATTATACCTCCAAGAATGAGTAGGCACTCACTCTCTGCATACACCAGCTGGTGCAATTACATCAGAAGAATATTACACATGAGCTGAGGAACACTGCTCATTTGTTGCTCTAACAGCTTCTGGAAAAAAGAGGGAAAGTTGGAAGATATAATGTGTGAGTGAGTGAGTGTGTGTGTGTGTGTGTGTGAGAGAGAGAGAGACTGAGTAAGAGAGAGACAGAGAGAGAAAGAGAGAGAGAAATAGAGACTGAGGTCTCCTCCTTTAGAATGCAAGGTCCCTGAGGGCAGGGGCTATTTCCCTTTTGACTTTATATCCCTAGGACTTAGAACAGTGACTGAGATATAGTAAGAGCTTTATAAATACTTGTTGACTGAGTGTATGTTTGGGGGTCGGAGAGGACAAATTGCCTGTGCAAAGAAGAATGCAGTGCAGTGTCCTGTATATCTGATTTCAGACATGCCATAATCTCAGCCTGACTTGAATCAGTTGTTTGCAAGGTGATTAATCACTGTCTCCCCCTGAGACATTCAAGGTCCTGTTGCCTATTCTTAGAACATAAGAAATCTTAACACTGAAATATGACTCTTGGGTTTTTGTTCTTTCCATGCCTTTTTAATAAAGCAGCGGAAGAAATCTTGCCATGGGCTCAGCTGAGTTATGGAGTTTATCTCCTTAGTGTCAAGGCTCCATTCCTCACCACTGTCACCAAACCAAGACCAAACACAGCTACAAGGAGCCTGGTAGAGGAGGACAAATGCTCAGAATTCGCGGCAGGCAGCGATATATCATATGGATTAATTGCTCAGAGAGACAGGTTTTCTTTGCGTATTTCTACAAACACAGCAGCTAAAGAACAAAATTAATTTAGCTAATCAGCAAAACCTCATTGCTCTACATGGCAAGACATGGTTTATTTGTTTTTGACAACTGAGGTTAATGAATCACAGCTCAGCCCCAATCCCAGCTGGTGAGATAAACAACACCTCTGGGTGTTACCTGAGGAAAAGGTCTCCACTCGGCTTCCCCCACGTACCTTCTCGGCATATTCTGAGACAATCTGCTTGATCTCCTCAGAGCGAAGCCCCACAATCTGGCCTACTGCACTTGCGGTCAGTCGGCTCTGGAATCACAGCAAAGACCATTATGTTAAAGCGACTTCCACAGAATCATAATGAAAGAGTTCTCTGAATTTTCCTTGAAAAGACAAGTCAAGACCTTTCTGTTTAACATAGGAAATAATTTCATTGACGTTCCTATTTATCACCAAATTTAATGACAGGAACAGAGTAAATACGTATCCAAACAGGTATCCAGATGAACACTTAATAACAAACACCTCCCTCTCCTTCCTGTATTTCAAGTTGCTCATCATCATTATCATCATTAAGCATTTATAGAGCACTGTAAAATTTGCAAAACAATGTAACCTTGTTATTTTATTTGAGCCTCACAACAACCCTGTGAAGTGGTTTATTACCGCTACTTTACAGATGAGGAAACTGAGGCTCAGAGGAGTTCAATAACTTGTCCAAGGCTTCATAGATAGTAAGGGTCAAAATCAGCATTTGAACCAAGGTCTCCCCTAAGTGCAAGACTGGAACTCTTAATGAGCCAGATTTGTCCCTCCTTGGAAAGAAAAGATCCTGGCAACCTCTCACCTTAAGGGCCACCTGAGAAGCTAAGCAGAAAGCTTTTATAGCTGAAAGTAACCTTAGAGATCACTCTGTCCAAAATCATACATTTTACAGATGAGGAAACTGAGACCCTGAGAGGCTCAAAGTCACACTGGGGGATAAGTGACAGGTCCTCTAACTCCTCTAACTCCAAATTCAGTTCTCTATGTACTACCCTGCTAGTCCTTAGAGGGGCAGTTGGGAGACTCATGATATATTTTGGCAGAAAGAAAAAAGAGAATGGAAGAGAGAAGGCAGGGTTATGAGAGGGATAAAGACGAGAAGAGAAAATAGAGATATATTTGCATGAGCACACATATACACATAAAGATACATGTATATGTATGTATATATGCATTTGTATAGATGTATAAACATATATGTATATCTCTGTATAAATATGTGTGTGTGTTTGACAGAGAGAGAGAGAGAGAGAGAGAGAAAATATATGTAATGAGGAAAACATAAAGGTCACTAACAACGGCCTTAGAGCCTCTGACTGACACAGACACCAGGAGTTACTCTGCTTTTACTTATGAACCAAGCTCTGTTTCTTACTGGCTGTGTGACTTTAATCATCCCTGGGCCTCAATTTCCACATCTGTAAAATGCCTACAAATGAAATCCCACTTAGGCACAGATGGGGAAGAAATCTGGGTTTTGGGAAGAAGAAAAAGCAGCAAAACAAGTGCTTCTCTTTCAATTAAAAAGGAAGTTAGGGTTGCATAGTGGATAGAGCTCTCAACGTGGGAGCCAGGAAGACTTGAGTTCAAATCCTGTCTGTTTCAGATACTTAATAGCTGTAGGATCCTGGGCAAGTCACTTAACCTCAGAGCTTCAATTTTCTCATCTGAAAGTAGGGGTAATAACAGAACTTCCCTCACAGAGCTATTGTCAGGACCAAATTAGAAAATTTATAAAGATTTTGCAAACCTTAAAGCACTAAATTAAAAGTATATATAAAAGCTAGCACTTTACAACAAGATGAAAGAGTAAAAAACTTCATTTTCTGACACAGGTGTATAAGGTGGTCACAGTAGGACTCCCAGTGTACACATATCAATACTTCAGATGAAAACCAACACTGGAAATTACATCAAAAGCTATTTTTTCAAGTGTCACATCACACCTTTTGCAATAGGGATTGCTACTGAATGGAAATATAAATTCATAAAGCCTCCTCGATATGGAAGGCCACTAGGGTAATAGGAAGATATAAGGAAATAAGGTGCTGGGGGATATAAGAGATACTTCTATAGGAGAAAGTCAATGAAGAGATAGATACTCTTTTCCCAGAACCACAGAAGCTCTGAAACATTCCCATTGCCACTTACCTCTTCTGTTGCCATAGCAGCCATTTTAGTCATCAGAGTTTCAATATGGCACTGATGAAAGAAAAATGACAGAAAAAGTGAGTAGCTCATAAACTTTTAAAACTATAAACTATTATACTTGAAGAATGCAAAGTGACTCTTTATGATGGAATTTGGGAACTTTCTTTCCCTTTGGTCAATTCAATTTTTTAATGATGTAAAATGAGCTAAGTTGGAAATATGACTATAATGAAATGACCACCTTGCACCTTCTGACTACAGGAAGGGACTAACCATTTTAGAAAGCTAGAGATGAAAGTCAAATTTCTTCCACGCTGGCTCAAATTCAACCCTAAGCTTTCTTTCTACATGGGCCACACACCTCTTCGGCAGCTTGAAGCTCATCTTCGTCAAGGGATTTTCCTGACCCTGAGAACCCTGAAGGCAACACCATTTTCTTGTCCTCGGTCTGTGAAAATTTTAAGTAAGACCTGTTAGTGCCAAAGTAATGATTGTGTTTAAAAAAAAAAGATAGGTCATAATTCAACTGGAAACAAACATTATCCTATATAGTTAATTCTCTACTCCCATATGCCTCCCCGAATCCATCATAAACTACTTAAAGTGCCTCTATTTCTGAACATCTCCCCACGGTGCCACATCATCTCAAATGCAGCAAGAACTCAATAAAGACTCGTTAACTGATCAGGATATGATGCTGAGGCAAAGGCACAAATGACATTACAATAAAATATAAGCTCCTTGAGGACAGGGATTGTCAAAATAGCACCTGATTAAATATGAATGCAGCATTATAGATAATCACCACCATAGGAACTCAGAAGAGTGAGAAATTATATGTAATATAGTGAGAATGTGGGTCAATGAGTCTTGAAGGATAGAGAGAATGTGAAGAGATGAAGAGGAGGGGGGAATGGTGTTTTGATACCTGCCAAAAAGGCAGAAGGAAAGTTCATGGGCAGGAAAGGGCAAGTGGTATTAGGGGGGAGTGACCAAAGGGACTGAGCCCTTCATCCCCTCAATGCTAGTACACACTCTGGAGCAGTGGTTCTCAAACTTTTTAAGAATCATTGGCAGATTTTGCTAATATTTTAGTTTGAAGTTCTCTTGTTTTGTCTAGCTAGGGTGATCAAAATCAGATCTTTAAAAAAACAAAAAGCCTACTATGACATATATCAGATCTTTAAAAAAAATAAAAAGCCTACCATAACATATTTGTAAGAAGGGGGAGCTTCTGTAATAGAATACACACCAATCTATTTAAATACCAGCTGGTTGGCAATCTTCTTCCTGGCCTCGTTAATGTTTTGGGTTTTTTTGGTGGGGATTTGGGGGGTAGTTTTGGTTTTTTGACTGGACCAGTGATTTAATCGGTATAGGAAACTCTCAGTGAAGAAATTCCCTTTATCAATTCAGTTCAACAAATGGACTGCAACTTATAGTCTTAAGACAGTTGCCTGAGACACTTGTTTTGGGTCCACATAGCCAACGTATCAGAAGAAAAGACCTGAATCCAGGTCTCCGGACCTAGAGGTCTGCTATCTATCCATTATACAATACTGCCATGCATAGATTACTATCTGTAAATAGATATATCAATGGGCTACAGAAGTTCCAGACTCAAAGATAATCTTTTTTTATTTTTCTTAGAAAAGTAGAAATCACCTCCTATTTCACTCTATTTTGTAAAATAACTATTTTAGGTTATTATTTTATTTACTCCCTCTCATTGTTTTTCCCTTTATCTCTATCTTAGGGGCATTATACTGAAATTAGAGAGAGTCCCTCAGAGCAGCGACCATATCTAATTCTTATTCTGTACTCCAAGGGCCCAGTGTAAGGGTCCCTAAAAGAAATATAGCTGAAGCCTCTGGCCAATGCAAGTCTAAAATGTCTATGGGTAGTGAGGAGAGCAGAAGTAAAGGCTGCTAATATGTCTCTTTCCCTTCATATTAATGGTGAGATTGACTTCCCTGCCAGCAGTCAATGGCCTTCCCTGTTAGTACTATCATTCAACTCTAACTGATGTGAAGACTTCAGAGGCAGCATGCTCTCGTGGAGGGAACACTGAATACATAACTGGGAGACTTCATCTCCAAGTACAGATCCTGCCCTTAATTGCTATGAGACAGCCAGGCAAGTTACTTAGCCCTTTAGGCCTCATTTTCCTCATTGATAAAATCAGCATAGTGCTACCTGTATTATTTCCCTTACAGAGTTATAGGAAGGAAAGCTTCTTTTTTCTTTTTTCAAAAAGCTAACAGTAAAATACTACATAAATGTCAGCTATTGTTATGTGGACACCAAAGTGGCTGCTCATTATAAAAAGTAAGGAACCTCTGGCCTATTTCACCATGGTGGATGCTAAACAAGTAACTGATGATTAAAAATTCTGCTCTTGAGATGATTAAAAGTTCCCTTCTTTTTTCATGTCATTAGAGTAAAGAGGGGCTAGATAGGCAGACAGTTAAATACTTTTTCAGACTTGGTTTTGCTGTTGGTCCATTTTGTTGAACATTTTTGCTTTGTTACATGGAAGGGTTCAATGAAGGTGGGTATACTGGGAAGTAACTGCGGCATAAAAAAAGCACCAACTAAACTTTGAGAGGTTGTGTTCTTTTCTTCTCTCTTTAAAAAAGGAGAAGAAAAAAATTGGAAAGGAAAGAAAAGATCTTAAGACCATAAGATGGAAGGGACTTGAAAGGCTATTTAATTCAACCCCTTCATTTTACAAATGAGGAAACTGAGGCTCAGAGAAGTTAAGTGATTTGCCCATGTCCATGCAGGTAGTAAGTGGTAAGACTGGGATTTGAACTCAAGTCCTCTGACTCCAAAACCAATCATTGTTCTGTTTTGGCACAAGGGTCTTTTACAATCAATGTTAAAGAAATGAGTCTATGAATTATTTATAATTGCTTTACCTTCTCTCCAGTTTCATTGAGTATAGAATATTTTGTTTTTAATTAGTAGCTATTTCATTTCTTACCTTCTCTGTTTTGCTCTGTCTACTTAATCCATATCGCCTACATAAAAAAAAAAGAGGGCATCATTTAAATGATTATTTTAAAATTCATGTTTGCCTCTAGATTTCACATATGAAAAGCTCACTTTGGACAGATTTTCCAAGAAAGTTGACATATCAAAACAACACAAACATCTTTGCTCCTGAAAGTCAATAGATGAAATACTTTCGCCTTCCTAATGTCCTGATGAAAGAAGAACTTTGTCTACTAGCAAAAGGAATCTTAATTTCTCATTCTGGTAAAGAACAAGCCTTTCTTAAAATGTGATCACCACCAAAAAAAAAAAATCCAAACAAACCAAAAAACAATGAACACATAGAAAGAGAGCCTAAATGTCTTTTAGGCTAAATATGCTTTACTGACAAACCAGCAAACAGGAATTGTCACTATGCCACATGTTTATTGCTTCTGCACTTTTAACATGGCCAGTCCATTGCTTCACTCACTGGAGGCATAGGATCATACAGTTAAAAATTGCTGCTTGTAGGGGAGGGGTTAGGTTAGATTAGAGAACAAAGAAAAAGGGGGAATGCCCTATTTAAACAATTGTTTGTGTTTGTTCAAACAAGATGTGTAACTTACTAATTCTGTATTCTACTTAATTTCCAGTTCAGTGTTTATACTCGATCTGTCATGCCAGTGATTTAGTTTTATTTTAGGAAAGCCCAGGTTAAGGAAAATGCACAAATACACTTTAATTTCTATGCCAGCATTTTTTTAAAGCCATGCTAGGCAAATGCTAGAAAAAAAAATAACCACAACCAAAAAAACACTAACTTTACCTTTTAAATAGAGCTTAGGTAGAAACATATAATTAAAAAAAAACCATTTTCCTTAAAGCCAATCTTGCTGTTCTAGATATCGAAAGTCATTCATCCTCTCCACGAATTTGTGATCTAAACATAACTAACCATGCAGATCAAAAAAAGTAAGATGATGCCTAGGTCCAAGATAAACTCAAAATGGGTATGTAATTTAGATATAAAGGATGTTTCATAAGCAAATTATGGAAGGGAACAATAAAAGAAATTACCTGTCAGATCTATGGATAGAGGTAGAGTTCATAAGCAAACGAGACAGAGGCTCACATGAGGTAGTGAGAGATTTTGATTACATTAAGTTAAAAAGTTTTTGCACAAACAAAACCAATGCAGCCAAAATTAGAAAAAAAGCAGGAAACTGGGGGAAGGGGAATTTTCCAACAAGTTTCCCTGATAAAGGTCTCATTTCTCAAATACATAGAGAACTGAGTCAAATTTATGAAAATAGGAACCATTCTCCAATTGATAAATGGTCAAAAGATATGAACATCAGAGGAAGAAATAAAAGCTATCAATATGAAAAAATGCTCTAAGTCACAAATAATTAGAGAAATGCAAATTAAAACAACTCTGAGGTACCATCTTACATCCATCAGATTTGCTAACATGACAGAAAAAGAAAATGATTAGTGCTGGAGAGGATGTGGGAAAACCAGTATACTAATGCACTGTTGGAGTTTGTGAACTGGTCTAACCATTTTGAAGAACAATTTGGAACTATGTCCAAAGAACTAACTGTGCATATCCTTTGACCCAGCAATACCAATAGTAGGTCTATACCCCAAGGAGATCAAAGGAAAAGGAAAAGGAGCCATATGTACAAAAATGTTTATAGCAGCTCTTTTTGTGGCGGTAGAGAATTAGAAACTGAAGTGATGCCCATCATTTGGACAATGGCTAAACAAGTTATGGTTTATGAGTGTGATGGAAAACTATTGTGCTGAGTAAAGGGGGATGGTTTCAGAAAAACCTGGGAAGAAACCTGGGAAGACTTCTATAAACTGGTGCAAAGTGAAATAAGCAGAACCAAGAGAACATTCTACATACTAACAGATATATTGTAAAGGTAATCAGCTGTAGAAGATTTAGCCATTCTGATCAATATAATGATCCACCACAGCTGCAATGGTCTCATGATGTAAAAAGCTATCCACCTCCAGACAGATAACTGATGGACTCAAAGTGCAAACTGAGGCATATTTTCCCCTCTTTAATTTTGGTTTGTTTTTTTTTTCCCAGAACATGGGCAATGCAGAAATGTTTTACATGACTTTATATGTGTAATGGGTATCCTACTTTTTGCTTTTTTAATGGGTGGGGGAGGGAGTGGAGGGATGAAAAGAATTAGGAACTGAAAATAAAAATAAAATTTTAAAAAATTATGCCAAGCACCGAGGGAAGTACTAGTGATACAAACACATGGAAGCAAGGCAATCTCTGCTTTCCAGGGATTTCCCCCATTCTAAGAGGGAAGACAACATATAAAGGGCAGCTAAAAAGATCAGAGCTGGCATTTCATGGGCATAGTCCATGGTTCTGGTGGGAGGGGGATAAGGATAATGGCTACAGTTCAGGCAATATGATGGGAGATGGCTAGGGAATCACTGCAAAAAAAGAATTCAAACTCTTGGTCCCCAAGTCAAACATGGCAAAAGGTTTCCACATAAGGTTTGTTTCTCCAGAAATGCCCTTTCCTAGGCAGGGGGCACACCTATAAGCCAACAAACCCACAGGTACAGTCTATATGTAGAAAAGCAAACCACCCCAGTACTACTCTGGTCATCTGATCTGGAGCTCAGAGCCTCTACTCTTTTCACAAACCAAGAGAGGCCTGATACAGCATCTAACTGGTCTAACCATCCTCTTCCCTGTGCAATCTGCAGTATTTGGTATTACGGTAGTAAAGAAAGTGCTAGACCTGACTCAACTCACCAACTTCTCGACTTTCAATGAATAATATAAAGTCCCACCATTAGTCTGTCTGTATAAAGGAAAGCCAAGCTGATTTCAAATTCATTTCCACTACACTACTATTCTGGTTTCATCCTTCAGTTATCCCCTTCTCCATTGACCAGTGGCTATTCATTCTCCCCTGGTTTCTCTCTGAAGTCCCAATTTTAATACTGCATGATGCTAATGACTTGCTCTCAATTTTCTACCAAGCTGCCAGATCCTCTCTGCAGTCCTCATGAATCATGTCTATAAACTCTCTGACATCGGTGCTACCTTTTCCTTATCAGAAAAACAAGGACCTCTGGTAGGAAATATAAGGGAAATCTAGCTATGAGGCAACAAAACAGTGTGCCTTAGTGAGGGGAGAAACACTGAAATGTAAACAGTATACTCTAAGCTCCATGAGGGCAGAGACTATTTTCCATTTCGTCTTATAGCCTTAGTTTCTAGCACAGCTCCTTGAAAATAGTAGGCATTGCACCTGAAGTTAAAAGATTTGGGCTTGAACATTAGCTCAGTCACACTTCTGTGACTTTGGGCAAGCATTCAGCTTCTATGAACCTCAATTGCCTTGTCTTTATAAGGAGGAGTTTGAACTGCATCATCTTTAAGGTTTATTTCCAGCCCTAAAATTTTATTGTTCTATGAATCTATGCTTAAGGCTAGAGTGTATATAGTTAAAACAGGGATAAAATGATGTAACACACTAATTAACAAAATAGGTAGATTTAATTTTAATTAATGCACCAGGCATTTACTGAAGATTCAGCATGTGCAATCTTATTACCAGGTACTATGACAACCACAAAAGAAATAGAAGAAATTCAATGCAACAAATCATCTGTTGGTACTATATGCTAGGATTCAGAGGCCTATGAAAGGTAATATACGTTACATTGGAGAAGACCTTTAAAGGTAATAAATAATCAATAATTTGACCATTTGGGTCCAAGAGCTGTGTAGTAGAGTGGAAATGGTGCTAGATTTGTAGTCAGTGGGCCTGGGTTTGAAGCCCAATTATACCATAAACTACCTGTGTGACCTCAAGCAAATCACTTAACCTCTCTGGGCCTCAGTTTTTTCACCTGCAAAATGAGGGGGTTTGATGGCTTCTGAAGTACCTTCCAGCTCTAAATCTACGATCAATCCTATGATGGTGAGTGAAAAAATTCAGGGCAGGAATAGTGGAGAAAGTCAATCTTACAAGAAAGCTAAGATCTGAAATGGCAATGAAGAAAAGAATTCCAGGGGCAGCTAGATGGTGCAATGGATAGAGCACTGGCCCTGGATTCAGGAAGACCCGAGTTCAAATCTGGCCTCAGACACATAACACTTACTAGCTGTGTGACCCTGGGCAAGTCACTTAACTCCATTGCCTAAAAAAACAAAAACAAAAACAGAAAAGAATTCCCAGAAAAAAAGTGGAATAAAAATAAACTTTTTTTGGTCTTATTATTTATTCAAAATGACATATTGCCTAGATCACTGAGCAATCTCTTTTGCTTAGGATGTAGAATTAAATAGCAAACAGACATATTTTTTCCTTCTGTCTCTAACAGCTTAGTAATATACTTCCACGTATGAGCAATATCTTTACTAATAACAGTGTGATTGCAGTTCATGTTTTCCTGGAGACCAGGGAATGTACAGAGGGACTTTTCAGATGCTCTTGTGCTCTCACTCTCAATTAGATGAAGAAACCTGGCAGGACTCTTTCTGGATTCTTGGGCCCATTCCCTACTCCTACAGGCCCATAAACAAATTACTCTACCTCCCCTCTCTCCTAAGTAAAATGAGAAGAATGGCCCAAATTCTCCAAGATCACATAAGATCTACTGAACATTTCAGTTAATCAGTCAATCTATTCCATCCTTGGAACTCTGCAGAGACAAGGCCATAAGGGAATAACATTATTTTAGCATCTTTAGTTCTCACTCTCTATAAGCTCTTCCAAAGAATACAAAAACTTCTTTCCCTATAATTTTTCCTCCTTCTAAGTCATGTATGACATCTGGCAAGATTTCCATGGGTAGTCTCTGAGGTTTGTATTGCCAGGGGTTAAAGTTTTTAAAAAGGCAGAGATTGCTGGGAGTTGCTGGGTACTCACACAGCACTGTGTCCTGGAATGTTAGCACCCTACATCATTCAGCATCAGTGGCACTGATAGCAAAGTATCCTTTTCCTCTGTGAAATGACAGGAAAAACAGAAACCAAAAAACACACTATTACCTGGGCATGATGACTCGCTCCTCTCAGATTCAACCAGGGCTTGCCCTACTTGCCAAGTAGGCAAATTTTGTCTTTAAACTATTCTGAGAAACAGAATTTCTTAATGCAAAGGTATAATTGTAATGGTATGATTTCAGAAACCAAGAATGTTAAAGGGCAAAGATGCACTGAAGCTAAAGCTCCTTTCTTGGCTTTTTATTATATTATTTATAGGGTTAGTCTTGAATTTAGCTAATTTGTCACGCTGCCTAATTCAATGTCTGAAATCCAAGCCTCCAACCTAAATGATCTCATTTGCAAGGCAATTGGTTTAAGGCCCAATTGGGCATGTAAACATCCACCATGGATAGTTCACAAAGGGGATAATCAAGAGTTGACTTGTGAAGAAATGTTCTCTATCAGATATGGATAATATACTGTACTACAAGAGCAGTAGCCACGTATGGCTTGAAAGAGAGCCAACTGCCTTCAAAGCAATATGGTTTCAGTGTCAATAGCAACTACTAAAGAAAATAAATGTTTTAATTATGGTGGAAAGTTACAAAAATAAAGTTCAATTTCATCCCTGTTCCAGAGAGATTTGCTGGCAGGGAGAAAAATCTGATATTATGTCCTCTGATCCCTCCAGGAGATGTTAGTCAAAGAAGGCTGTTAGTGCAGGTTACCACACTGAGGGCCAGCCAGGTTAGGGGAGAACAGGCTACAAAAAAAAAGAAGCCATTACTGTTCCCAAAACAGATCAAGAAGAGCAAAGAGAAATACTCACATTGCAGAATCAGTAAATCTAAGAAGAAAACACACAAAGGGCACAAAGGGAAACTGAAGGTCAAGACCTAGTGTCAACAGAAAGATGTAAAAGCAGAGAATCATCTTACAGAGAACTAAAGGTTGGTCAACTGGAACTGAGGGATTTAGCTTAAAAAAACAAGGCTACAACAGTGAAAAAGCCAAATTTTCTTCTTCCAAATTCTTCCTTTTCGTTTAAAACAATACCTAAAGGAAACTGGAATTTTTCTTTGTCCTAATGTTATAGTGCATTTAGAACACTGGATTTCATTTTTTTGTCTTCTCTCAACTCCTCAGAGAAGAAGTACAAGAGCAAATGACAGAAGCATGAAATCCAAAAGCATCAGGAAGCTCTAAAAATGCCAACCAAACCCACTCCCTAAGGAGAGGGGAAAATAAAAAATCCTTGTAAGAGGCACAATTAGTTTTTCCACATTTACGATTCCTATTTCTGTGTAGGAATCACAACTATGAAGCCTACAACTGGCTCCATTAGGACCACAAAGCCTACCCACAGAACACATGCAAAATCTGACACCAGAAAGAAAAATTCCAATGCCAGGAAATCTCATGATATAAAACCAGAAACTGAACAGAGTCAACCCTTCCAACTAATGAGCAGTGTAATGACAAGCTTCCAATTGAGGAGTTTAAATTGGAAACTTTTACTAAGGGAGCAAACAGTCTGGGTAGTGCCTTTTATTACCTGCCATATTCCAAAAGGGTAGTATGGACTCGAGATTCTTCATCTAGGAGCTCTTCAGCTCCCTTCTGACGCCTGTATTTCCGACGAGGTTTGTAAACATCCTGAAAAGCCAATCAGAAATTCAAACTGTCAAGCATGGAAAAGGACAAGTCTGAGCTTTAAAGATAGTGCAATAATCCAGAAAAGTCTGTGATCTCACACATGTGGGTATACCATCCTAAAACGCAGTTCACAATCTATCTATGTCTTCCTATACTGGGTGACTATTGACCATGTTTTTACCCATGTTTGTCAGAGTGTTCACCTGCTGTGTGAGGGACCTTTCGCTCATTTTGACACCACATATATATAAATGAAGAAATCATCAAAAAAAGTTTTTTTTCTCCCCATTCTTTACCAAATCAAACATGGTATGTTATGATTTTTGCTTTGAGGAATCTCATCCTAATCATGTGAATTTGCTGGTCATCTGGTTGTCAATATACTATTAGTAGATACCTCTGTGCTGCCTCACTTGAGGCAAGTATGTAGACCCTGAGTAAAGATTTTACAAAGTTGCTGCCCTGAAAGAGTTTTAAGTCTAACAGATGAAAAATGAAGGCAAATACGAAATACAGGAAAATACGTATGGCAAAATAACAATTAGACAAAATTCAACTAAACAAAACCCTCAATTACCAACGGCTGCTTGTTCACAGTCCACTTCAACAAACAACAAAGATGTATTGAACCTAAATTGTATGCAGAACTGTATGCTAGATGCTGGGTGAGATTCAAAATATTTGGGTAGTTCATAGTCCCTGTCCTCACGGAGCTTACAGTCTAATAAACCAATAACATAAACAAATATAACTATAATATAATGTATGAAAAGTGAAAACAAGTTGAATTTAGAAAAGATACAAATGACAAGGAAAAAAAATCTATGTAAAGGATTGGGACAGGGTGAGGGTGTATAGAATCTTTTCCATATTGGGCCCAGTACACAACATCTTACACTTCCAGCCTGATTCAGGAACACATCGAATAAAAGAAAATTTAATTATTTTAAGATAGCAAAAAAGATTCAGACATTTCAGAAAGATTTCCAAGAACAAAGCTTGAAACAGAAAGGTTTTCATAGGAACCTTCTGGTAACTTGAAAATTCTAGTATGGAAAATTCCTTGGCTACCTGAAACTCTTGGAAAAATGAGTAATTCTGGAAAGCTGTGGTAAATGCTGTAACTTTTAATATTTAAATTTTTGAAGGAAATCTTTCTGTGCACTTTCTTATCTTATAAAATAAACGTACTGTCCCGTAGCTAAGGTCATAGCTGGTATGGGAGATAAGGATAAGGTACTTAGCTTGTTACTGTATTCAAGGTCTGCTCACTCCTCCAGAATGGTGAATTGTACAGGCTGAAATACCCTTAGCACAGCATACATGGTAACTTTGTGGACTACTGAAGGCAGATGGCTGATTGTCAAATAAATCAACCCTTTCAAAAACCACCACACCTCAAGTATGGAAGATATTCCTTATGTCTTTGTCTCCAGGATCTACAGATCTGAGGTGCAGGTGGTTGTTTTCTCCCTCACAATGCAAGCTAGAAAGGACCTTACAGATTATTTAAATCAACCCCTCATTTTACAGAGGAAGAAATAGAAAAACAAAATTTAAGACCAATGCTTGACATCCAATGCAACAGAGTTGGATCATAACAAGGACAGCACTACTCCATAATCAACAAACTTAACTCTTCCTTTCTCACTCTTTCTACCTTCTGGCAATCCGCTGAGACTTGGGTCCCTCCTGATGACACTGCATCCCTGGCCATCTTTTCCAGCTCTACTTATGCACCTTGACTCACTGGTGGAAGTGAGAAAGTGGGAATACTCCTTGTTCCCTACTACCTTTTTAGACTTTCCCTCTACCAGTACCAGTAAGTAGTCTCATCTGCCTCTCCTCCTTTGAAGTTTACTCTATTTAAATGTCATCCAATTGCAGCCCAAGGACATTTTCCTTCCTTTCTTTATGAATTTTCAGTGTCTTTTTCTCTACCTCAACTCTTGCCCTTATATTAGAGAACTTCACACACACAACACATACACACACACACACACTGCTCCCTCAATACCTTAATTTCCCATTTCCTCAATCTATTCAGTTTCTATTATCTCTTCCTCTACTCCAACTCTGCTACACAGAGATATGTACCTCTGACACCCACAAATGTTTCTTTTCAATGTTCATGAACTCTCACCCCCACCTCTCCCATTGCTTTATAACTCCAAACTATGTCCTTTGACTATACTGTAACCTCCAATCCCTCCACTCAATTCTTTCCCTGGTCATCACTGGCTACGCTCTCTTCCCTTCCCTATCTTGGTTCCTTGGTGAATCACTTTAAATTTACACTAGTCTCTACATTCAATTCCCTTGCCCCCTTGTCCTGTTGCTGATTATGCCTTAACAAACTCCAACCCTGGATTACTCCAACCATCTACAGCCTTTTTTCCTATTCATGTACTCTGAATAGAGCTAGAGAAAAATCACAAAACTTTGCTGACTGTGACTACTACAAATTTATGTTAAATAATGTCAACTGGGCTCTCGCTGTAACAAGGGAATCTTTTTTATACCTCCTTGATCAATTCACACTCGCCATCACCACTGTGGTTGCTGCAAACCATTTTATACCCACTCAAGACTCCCGTCCTCCCAAGGGATTAGAGGCTTTTCCTGAGTAAGGACCAAAGTACAGACTAGGACAGGACCCACCACACCTCTCCCCACATCACACCACCTTGGAAACAGACTGACAATCTAAGGTATATGGCTAAATATTTACAAAATATAAACTGACCAGATTAACAAAAGAGGAAACTATACTTAAATAACCCTATCTTAGAAAAAGAAATTTAACAAGCCATCAATGAGTTCCCTAAGAAAAATCCCCAGGACCAGATGGATTTACAAGTGAATACTACCAAACATTTAAGGAACAATTAATCCAATTCCAATATTATGTAAACTATCTGGAAAAAAACAGAGAAAGAAGAAGTCATACCAAATTCCTTTTATAACACAAATACGGTGCTGGTACCTAAACCAGGGAGAATAAAAATGGAGAAAGAAAACTATAGACCAATTTCCCTAACGAATATCAATGCAAAAATTTTAAATGAAATACAAGCAAGGAAATTACAGCTGTCACAAAGATAATATGACTAGAAGGGATTTATACCAGGAAAGCAGGGCTGGTTCAATGTTAGGAAAGTTAGCAGCATAATCGACCATATCAACAACAAAAACAACAAAAATCATATGATTACCTCAATAGATTCAGAAAAAGATTTTGACAAAATATAACACCCATTCCTATGGGGGGGGGAACTATAAAGCACAGGAATACATGGATCCTTTCTTAAAATGATAAGTTGTATCTATATAAAACCGAAAGACATTATCTGTAATGAGGATAAGTTAGAAATCTTCCCAATAAGATCGGGGTGAAGCAAGTATGTCCATTATCACCACTATTATTCATTATTGTATTAAAAATCCTAGCTATAGTTATAGCAAGAAAAAGAAATTGAACAAAAAAATATGCAATGAGGAAACAAAACTATCACTCTTTGCAGATGATATGATTGTACTTAGAGAACCCTAGAGAATTAACAGAAAAAAAAAACTAGTTGAAATAATTAACATTAGTAAAGTTACAGAATTTAAAATAAACCCACATAAATCTTCAGCATTTCTATCCAACAAAACCCAACAGGAAGAAATAGAAAGAGAAATTCCACTTAAAATAATTGCACACGTTATAAAACACTTGAGAGTCTACCTGTCAAGACAAACCCAGGGACTATATAAATACATTACAAAACACTTTTCACACAAATAAAGACAAATCTAAACAACTGGAGAAAGATTCATTGTTAATGGGTAAGCCAAGCCATTTAATAGAAATGACAATTCTATCTAAATTAATTTACCTATTCAATACCATGCCACTTAAACTACCAAAGAATTATTTCATAGAGCTAGAAAAATACAATAACAAAATTCATCTGGAAGAACAAAAGGTCAAGAATTAAAAAAAAAAAAAAAAGAATGTGAAGGAAGGTGGTCTAAGCGTACCAGATTTCAAACTATATTACAAAGTGGTAATCATCAAAACAATCTGGTACTGGTTAAGAAATAGAGTGGTGGATCAGTGGAATAAAAAAGGTACATAATACACAGTAGTAAATGATCATAGTAATCCAGTGTTTTATAAACCCAAAGATCCAAGTTTTTTGGATAAGAACTCAACATTGACAAAAAATTTCTCAGAAAACTGAAAAGCAGTTTGGCAGAAACTGGGCATGGAATAACATCTCATACCATATACTACGATAAGGTCAAAATGGATAAATGATTTAGACATTAAGGGTAATATTATAAGTAAACTATAGGAAGATGGAAAAATGTACCTGTCAGATCTATGAATAAGGGAAGAGTTTGTGACCAAGCAAGAGATAGAAAGGATCATAGGAAGTAAAATAGATAATTTTTATTACATGAAATTAAAAAGCTTTTGCAGAAACAAAATTAATGCTGCAAAAATCAAAAGTAAAACTGGAGACTGGGGAGAAAATATTTACAAGTTTCTCTGATGAAGGCCTCATTTCTCAAATATATAGGGAGCTGAACCAAATTTATAAAAATAAGAGGCATTCCCTAATTGATAATTGGTCAAAGGATATGAACAGGCAGCTTTCAGAAGAAGAAATCAAAAATATAAACAGTCATATTAAAAAAGCTCTTAATCCCTATTGATTAGAGAAATGCAAACTAAAACAACTCTGAGATATCACCTCCAATCTAGCAGATTGGCTAACAAGACAGAAAAGGAAAATTACAAATGCCGGAGAGGATGTAGAAAAATTGGGACACTAATGCACTGTTGGTAAAGTTGTGAACTAGTCCGAGCACTCTGGAGAACAATTTGGAACTATGCCCAAAGGGCTATAAAACTCTGCATACTCTTTGACCCAGAAATACCACTACTAGGTCTATATCCCAAAGGGATCAAAGAAAGGATTAAAGAACCTATCTGAACCAAAATATTT